ACTACAGCAGTCCCACTTGATTCTTTTGACATATCAGTGAGAAGTAAACAGTGCCATAGGAAAGGAAAGGAAATAAAAGATCTAACCCCATTCTTCACACTGTAAGAAAGAGACCTAAGAGGTGAAAGGACTTGCTCAGGATTGCACAGCTGGTAGAGGACAGGCTGGAATTAAAATCCATTGTATTAAATCAACATCCTGCACTTTTATTCAGGCATTCAGTCATGCTTGCTGGTATTTATTGACAGGCACCAGTGGAAGAGGCAGATACAAGTCATATCTGCAACAAATACAAAAATGCATGTGCAATATGGCAAACGCAGGTACAGTTGCTGCTAAGATGCAAGCCCTGAAGGAAGGCCTCGGGATCTTGCCTGAATAAACGGCAAGGGAAGCCTCCCCTGGTAAAGGATCTGAGAGCTGAGACGAGCTAAGGGAATGAAAAAAGGGGCACCAGCAGGGAAGACACCTCTCTCCTATAAGCAGCCACTGTGGTGCAGGAGACCCAGCTCGCCAGCCCCCAGGAGAGGCCTGGGACCAGCAGCCAAGTGCTGACCCACCAAAGAGCTCAATTCAGGGAGAAAAGGACCCTTCCAAGGGCTCAGCACCTCCTCATGCTGAGCTCTGCACGCCTGATCTCTTTTCATCTCTTCAACCCATCCTGCAAAGCAAGTGCTATCATCCCCATCTCACAGATGAGGAAACTGAGAGTTAACCAGGTGACATGAATTGCTATCTCAGAACTGAAAATGATTAGGGCCAGAATTTGAACGTGAGTGTGTCTGATTCCCAAACCCATACTCTTTCCACTAAGCTAGACCTTTCAATGCAAACAAAAAGCAGAGAAAGTGGAAATATGAATGTAAACCGACAGAATCCAAGCTGCTATATCTAGCAGGTGCCTTCCTGATGAGAAACATAACCCCACTTGGGCTGTTTGCCCTGACTGAAAACAAAAACAGTTCTTTCATCATTTCCCATTTACAGGTCTGCCTGTGAACTAGAAATTAAAGTCCGCCATGTTACAACAAGGTGATCACATGCTGAGGGCCAGGGTATTGGGAACCATGAGAATGACAGGGGCCTGGAAGGAAGGGGAGGAAACCCAGATGGGGGAGAGAAGTTCTTCCTGCTTTCAGAGTAGTGACTCTCCCAACTGGAAAACACACACACACAAACACGACACAAACTCACACACTTACACCCACGCACACACCACCACACACACATTCCAGGACCACATGCTTCCCCTGAGCCCTGAAGGAAGGAAGGAAGCCCAAGGTCAGTCCAAATTTGTATTTGTAATAACCAGAGCACAGAAGCATAGCAGCCCTGAAACTCCCAACACCTACAGGGAAGGGAGATGCAGGGATCAGCAGGGAAAGGACCCAGCCCCAATCACTCCTCTTTAGTACAAGACGTCATTTGGGAAAAAGCACACAGAAAACTCCAGAACGCCATCCTGAACGAACCCGGCCTTTTTTTCCCCTCCAGTGGACAGGTGATGTTTCTGCCTGCAGAGCTTCCAGTCCTCTCTCAAGATTTGGTCCGGGTTGACTGATCTTAGCTTGGGGGAGGGTGTGGTCATGTGACCTGGGTTGGCCAATGCAATCGCTGCATTCCCTGGCCAGTGATTGGCTCAAGGTTGGGCGTGTGACCCAGACCAAGCCACATGTGACCCCCAGAGCCTTCCCTGGGACTTTTTATGGAAGTTAATTAGCAAACAAGCTCCTAGCATTCTTTTTCCTGGGTTCACTGAGTTCATAGGATAAAATTCTAGAGCTGCTAGTAGCTGTGTCGCTACCAAGACAGGGAAAGCCTGCCTGAGAACAAAAGCAAAAGAGAGAAATGCTTAGAGGACAGGAGAAGACAGGAGGGCAGGGAAGATCCTGTTGGAATAAAATTATTCAAATCACTGGGTCCAGCTATACCTGAAGCTGGTAAACTTGATTAGGGTGAAAGAGCTCATCAATGACCTTTTTCCTGTTTAAGTCCATTTGAGTTTCTGTCATTTGTAACCACCACAGTCTTAGGCCTTTTCATCCAGTACAGCTACCTGACTCTTATATTGAGTCTTTTATTTTCTTCTGTTTATATATATTACCTCCTATTATCCTGTAGACTTAGAAGACAGACCTCAGATCTTTACGAAACCCTCCTTAAGCCCAGCAGGGCTCTGGCCAGCTAGCAGAGTCCCTGTGACTGTTGCTGACTGGTGAAGATTAAACCTCACATTCCCCTTTGACAGAGAAATAAAGAAAAGGCCAACCACGTGGGTCTAAAGTTATTCTAAAACAAAACTGAATCAGGCTCAGAGCCACAGTCTATGGTGGCTAGTTTTAGGATTAGAGGTACCCTTATGTTCTATTCTCTAACCCCAATGACTTCAACTGAATCTAGGGATATACACTAACAGCCAAATCAGCAATAGGATAGCAAAGAGAGGCAGAAATAGCAAATTAAGTCACATCCTGGCTGCAGTGAATGTCATAAAAACCGATGACATTTCAAGGGAAAACATGCAACAGTCGTCAAAAGGCCAGTAGACCCGCTCTCCATCACTACTAAGAATGCCGTGGCTTGTGGCTCACGCTGTTTTCTTTCACTTGCAGTATAATAGGAACAGTGGTCCTTTGGATCCATGTTATTGCAGTTAGGATTTTCTTTTTGCACTCACAAGCCAGCAGTGCATCTGGGCTATTGAGCCTCAGCCTTAATATACACAATGCTTCCTTTTTATCCTAAAATAAAATTCATAGGTTGGGCATGTGGCTCACACCTGTAATCCTAGCACTTTGGGAGGCTGAAACAGGAGGACTGCTTGTGCCCAGGGGTTCATGATCAGCTAGGCAACATGGTGAAACACCATCTCTCCCAAAAAAAAAAAAAAGTACAAAAATTAGCCAGGCATGGTGGCATGTGCCTGTAGTCCCATCTACTTGGGAGACTGAAGTAGGAGGACCACTTGAGCCCAACAGGTGGAGGCTGCAGTGACCTGTGATGGAGCCACTGCACTCCAGCCTGGAAGACAGAGGCAGACCCTGTCTCAAAAAAAAAAAAAATTATATATAGCCCACTTACATAACAGGGTTTTTTTTTAAGATGATTTAATGCCCAAACTATAAATATATATAGGAGCAATAAAATATAGAGGAGCAATTAGAAGGTAATTTTTACATACATGTGTTTCAATTTGTAAATGCTGAGGCACAACCATGTGGGGAACCACAATGCAGTCATCAATTATACGCACTTAGAACACACATTTGGACTTAAGAAAAGATGATCCAAAGTCATTTCAAACAAGACATATAGGAAAAACCAAAACACAGGTGAACACTAAATAAAAATAAGCATTACATTAAGTACTAGCTGATAGGACTTTTGTTCATAACTGACATTCTGCAAGGTCAGAGAGGTATATGCAAGTCTTGTGAGATGCAGAACAGCATTGCTGGAGGCCTGTCCTTCCTAGACTCTGTCCACTTAGTGCCAATCATGTCACTTCCAATCATTGCAACAACCAAAAGCTGTCCCCGCCGTTCATATCATGCACCTGACAGGCAGAAGCCTCCCCTTTGAGGACCACACAGGTAGGCCATGGGGGTGGGAGGGGATGGCCCCCCTTGCTAAACCAGAGCAGGGGCCTCTCAAACTTGAGTGCGATGGAGGAAGATGAAGTGGGATGTTCCTTGGGCAATGCTCCCTCTTACCCCTGCCACCACCAGGTTCTGCTCCTGGGACCATCTGCTACCCATGCCCCATTGTACACTGACCCAAGGGGACACCTCCTCCTGCCCTTGGCCTCCCCGACATAATGAGCTATGGAGTGAGCAGGAGGTGAAAGCTGAACCTGGAAGCTTTGCTGGGCCCAGGCTTCTCCAGGCCTCTAGGTTCATTTCCCTTTACTTTTCTGTCCAGTGTCCCTTGGACTTCCGTGTGGTCCTAAGGGAGCTATAACCCCCCAACCCTACTGTTCCTACGGTGAGGCCAGCCACCATGCCATTAGCCAGGACCCGCCAGTGTGTGGTTCATGTGGTTCAGGCAAACTCAGGAAACAGCTACAACAAGTTGTGAGAAAATTTAGGGTTCAGCAGCAGCAGGTGAGGATGAGAGTGCTCATCTGCATATCATTCATCAGTGATGCCCTGGGGAATGGCCTCTCTTTCCCCAGCCTCCCCCAACTAGGCCTGTTAAGTCCACATCCTGGAGAGGGGATTTGGGGATCAAGAGAGGGCACCAACTGGCCCTCTGAGGAGCTGCCTCCTGAGGCAGGTCACTCCCTGCTGTAGCAATTCCCTTTTGGGTATGGAGCAGGCATCATGAGATGATGGAGGGTCTCTGGTTACCCACAACCAGATGCACAGCAACCTGCATAGCCCAGCACCACCTCTCCAAAGCTGACTCAGCATTACGTCTGCAGGGCATCCCCTCTGCCACCACCCCCCCCACCCAGTCTCACACCACCAAGTAGGAACTCCTGCCTGTGATGGGTGCACAGAGCATCAAGTTCACATCTTACTCAGTGGGCAGGTTCTAAGGTTAGCCTTTGATGTAAAAAACTGTATCTATTCAAAAAAACTTTCTAAGTTTCTTACACAGACACCATGCTAGAGATTGGCATGCAGACTCTCGGTCCATCCAACACAGCTGATTTGTTCTCCAGCTGTGAAAGAGATCTCTATTTGTCCAATTGGGATGTGCAGGAGGGGTATGCACTCACAGAGCTGCCATCTTGTGAGGAAGCCCTTGCTGCATGGAGAGGCCACGTATATGTGCTCCACCTGACAGCCTCCCTATCTGGGTCCCAACCACCAGCCACAACTGACCACCAAATCTGAGTGAACCAGCTTTCAGATGATTTCAGGCCCCACTTTCAAGCAGCCCCAGGCATCAAATCTTCCAGGTGAGGCCCCAGACATGAGGGAGCAGAATAAATCATCCTCACTGTGGCTGTGTGTGAATTCCTGACCCACAGAATGGGCAGTAACATATTGCACTTTATGGCTAAGTGCACTATTTATTGTGCATTAGGGTCACATAATTTGTGTGTATCCTTAAACATTTTAGTAACACTCAGATTGTCAAAAGGCTCCCACTAGAAGCAGCACACCAGAACGGACACTGACAAAAAGAAAAGCAAAATCAAATCACACGCTTCATCAGGGCATTAACTTGGAGACCAGAGGCAAAACCCCTGCCATTTCAATTATTTCTCTCATTTGTTCTACAGGAACATGTGCGGCTGAATTCTTGTGGGTTAAACATGTGAGGGATGGATTCCATCAGAGGGGCTGCATAAGGAAGTGGAGCTTGATAAACAATAAGCTGGGTTTTCTGGAAGGACATACCAAGGTTTGTATATGATTGTCCAATACAGCCAGCGGTGAGCACACTAGGAGAGCATTGGTTGTCCTCCTTGGCAAACATGAATGGCAGGCTCTGGGGACAGCTCTGCTATGTCACACGATGGTACAACCACAGCAGTACCGCTCAGGATAGTCCACCGCATACACCTGGTGGTCAGTGCCATAGATGTAGTAGACATAATTCTTTCCTTGGTACCAGTAGTGAACTTCTGTGAGGGGAATCAGCTCGATGGTCTGGCGCTAAGGAAATAAATAGCCAAGGAAAATTTCAGTGATCTGTACAAGTCATTCACCTGCTCAAGAACTTTCAGTAGCTCCCTACCATCTATGGCAGGCGTCCCCAAACTATGGCTCGCAGGCCGCATGCGGCCCCCTGAGGCCATTTATCCGGCCCCCTGCCGCACTTCAGGAAGGGGCACCTCTTTCACTGCTGGTCAGTGAGAAGAGCACAGTATGTGGCTGCCCTCCAATGGTCTGAGGGACAGTGAACTGGCCCCCTGTGTAAAAAGTTTGGGGACTCCTGATCTATGGTATGAAAGTCCTGCTCTGGATTTGGCATTTGATACGGTTTGGCTCAATGTCCCCACCCAAATCTCACCTTGAATGACAATAATCCCCATGTGTCATGGGAGGGACCCAGTGGGAGGGAACTGAATCATGAGGGTGGGTTTTCCCTATACCGTCCTCATGATAGTGAACAAATCTCATGAGATCTGATGGTTTTATAAAGGGCAATTCTCCTGCACATGCTCTCTTGCCTGCTGCCATGTAAGATGTGCCTTTGTCCATCTTCTGCCTTCCGCTATGATTGTGAGGCTTCCCCAGCCATGTGGAACTGTGAGTCCACTAACCTCTTTGCTGTATAAATGACCCAGTCTCAGGTATGTCTTGGAGACAGACTAATACAGCATTCTAAACCCTGCTACAATCTGGCTTCAATCTGCCTTTCTAGATGTATCTCCTACTGTGCTCCTTCATGTGCCCTAAGCTCTGACCAAAACTGATTTCTCATCTTTAGCTACCATTTGATTCTAGGTTTCACCAAGTGGGCACAGGCACCCCCACGGGAGTTCCAAGGTGTATGGAAAGTCACCAGCCAAGTAGGACAACTTCCAGAAGCATTAATTTTTAGATGGAGTGCTTGGGGACAGTGAAGGATAAAGTCAGTTTAAACATTTGTATATTAAAACAACCATAGAGTTATTAGGGAGAGGTTTATAATATTTGAATCAAATTTTAAGATAAAACATTGACCCTGGAGACATTTGAAAGTTTGGTGGGCTGTGCCAGGCTCTTTTCAGGATGGGGACCTCATCCCGTCCCACAGCCCCCTTCTCTGGGCAGTTACTCAATAACTTTCTGCAATGATGAGGCCCTGAATGGAAAATAGCAGCCCCATCTTGGGAGCAAATATTAGGCTCCTGTCTCCATTGGCTTTTGGTGCTGTTTTGTTTTTGGCAACTACACTACATCACTGATGTAGGAATGTTAATCCTAATCATTTAAGCCAAGTTTTCTCATGGACTTACTGTGGGCCAGGCTCTGTGCAAAAAAACCCCTAAGTTCTGCACTAGCTGCTCCCCTGTCCCAGATTCCGATTTGGGGAGAGGTGGCATGAATGGCCCAGGGTCAGGCCCTCTTTACTTGCAGGAAATTCTTCCTGTTGGGAAAAGAGCCCCAAGTCCTCTTGCTGTAGTTGATGGCTCGAAGACCCGAGGGAAGAGTTAAACCAGGCCCGGTGGGGAGCTCAGGCTGAAGCCATCTGGCTGCTTTGACGTATCTCTCCATTGCTGAAAAAGTGCCCTGACCATCCCTGGAGACTTGGGTAGTGGGAGGACTCTTGAGAGGCAGGACCCTGTTCTGTCAGAGGAGAGGCCAGGGGGCAGCACGACATTGCAGGAGGAGGAGGGGAATCACAGTTAGGGCACGAAATTTCCACATAGCTTTCTGTGTGAGCTTGTGCTCCAGCTCTCTGGGCCTCAGTTTCCTCATCTGTGAGATAGGAATAATAACTCTTATTTCACAGAGTTGTTGAGACAGCCAAAGAAGAACAGGCAACTGAGTTTTCCTCATATGCCAGAAATTGGAATCCAAATGACAGTTTGGGACATGAAAGGTGGAAGACGCCTCTTGAAATTTCAGTGCGAAGGACCTCAAATAGGGACTAATGGGCACAGGGAGATGGGAGTCCACGTGAATGCTCAGAAGGCCTGGACGCTGAAGTCGGGACGGGGATCCAGGGAGAGCACGGCAGCACCACTGCCCCCACCCCACCTGCCTCCATCTGCTTCCGGCTCAAAAAGTCTCCAAGTCTGAGGCCACAAATTGCCCAAGACATCAATTGTCATCAAGTGGTCATGATGTAATTGCCTGTTTATCTGTCTGTGCAGCTCATCCCTGCAATAAGCAGATTCCAGGTCTCAGAGTCATGGCCACGTCCGGGAGAGGTAATTTAGCCAGCTATGTCCTCATGGTTGGATTCCAGGCTCTAACTTCTCCGTCCTGAGTAAAATACTGGCATGAATCTTTGTCTATAGCTCCAGGACCAAAGGCAAAATTAGGGGGAAAAAAAGATTCAAAGAAGTGACCTCCAATCCCATCATATTCCTGTTTAAAGAAAAATGTCTATTTGCCCCCTGGGTTACCTTTCCTGGCTCCAGGATTTGTTTAGGAATGGCTTGTACTGCCAGATAGGGCCTCGGGAGACCTGGGTTGTAGTCCTGGAACTGCCACCAACATACCGTGTGACTTCCCCTCCTTCCCCTCTGTGGGCCTCAGTTTCCCCAGCTGCCAAATTATTGAAAAACTAGAAGGTTTCATCTAAAAATCTGGACTTCAGACAGTCTGGAAATGCTGGGCCTTGTGCCTACAGAAACCGGTCCCTTTGAATGAAAGGCTCTGCCACCCTCCTTACTGCCTGGCCCTGGCAGGCATGTAGGTTTGCAGTGTCCCTTCCAGCTCCAAGACGGTCCATATTCACTTAGATAAAATGCACAAATCAGGGAGCTGTGCAGAAAGAGAGAGAAGAGGAAATGCTCATTGCAAAGGACAGAAAGGGACATTTTGAGCACCAGGTGCCACACATTAAGCAGGAGGGTTTTGCTGCAAAACCCTGGGAGATGCTTTAATGGTTCTTTTTGCACAGGTGAGAGACTGGCTTTGAAGAAGGGGAGAAGTCGCTGGCCCAGGATCATGTTGGGATGCAAGAAACGCAGGGTCTCAGCCCAGTCCGCAAGGCTCCTTTCTTGGCTGCTGAGTCCCACTTCATGAGGCTCCAGCAAAGCACATTACCAGGCTAAACTCCCACCTTAGGGCCCCCTGGCCGGCTGCGCAGCAGCAGGAGCCGCTCAGGGCTGCTCCGGAGATGTAGCAGCCACCACCACCACCTTGTGGCCATCAGGATACAGCAGCCAAAACCCCAGAGGCTGGGAGAAGACAGGGTTTGGGGTTTGAGAAATGCCAGGGCCTCAGAGACAGGATGCTAGGCACCAGCCAGGCCTGTGATCTTGAATCTCAAGCTTTTTCTTCCCCTATCTAAACACCAGGGAGTCAGAATCAAAATCACATGACATCACATTTGTGCCCAAAACCCTGCAATTTCTTCTGGGAATAAAAATGCAAACTTGGCCAGGCGCAGTGGCTCACACCTGTAATCCCAGCACTTTGGGAGGCCCAGGTGGGCGGATCACACAATTAAGAGATCGAGACCACCCTGGCCAACAAGGTGAAACCCCATCTTTACCAAAAATACAAAAATTAGCTAGGTGTTGTGGCACGTGCCTGTAATCCCAACTACTCAGGAGACTGAGGCAGGAGAATCACTTGAACCAGGGAGGCAGAGGTTGCAGTGAGCTGAGATCGCACCACTGCACTCCAGCCTGGGTGACAGAGTGAGACTGTGTCTCAAAAAAAAAAAAAGTTAACTTCTCCCGTGGCACATGATCCTTCCTCTGCATCTCACGTGCCTTGCTCTATGCCCTGGGGCTTTAGGTCAGGCCCTAGCTCTTCCCCCGCTCCTCCCCTTGGGATCTCCCTTACACCTCCACATCCTCATCCTTCTGCTCTGACCTTCTCAGGAAAGAGGGCTCAGCAGCCCAGGAAGAGATGTCAGAGCCAGATGGACCCTTAGCCCCGGCTCACCTGCTGCAGGATGCGGGCTCGGGAGGCCAAGGCGGCACTGTGCTCTGCAATGCCCCTCTGGGAGGCCAGAGAGATGTCCCGCAGGGGGAAGTCCACAATGGGGTACACCTGGGGAGAGAGAGACGAAGACCACCTAGCTGCCCCACCTGGAGCCTGGGGAGTCACTGGGGCTGACTAGAGCCAGAGCCAGACCCAGAGAAGGGGCCCAAGAGAAGGATCCATATTAAGGACTCAAGAATTTCAAACACAGGAAAACGGGGCCTGCAGTCAGTGAGAGAGCCCTATCACCTGCAGCCCACTTGCTCCCCCAGCTGTGTGCCTCCTGTGTACCAGGCATCGTGCTGGGTGCTGGACAAAGCAGCAACCATGTGTGGTCCCCATCTGTGGACTTGTGGGGTCTGTACATGTGTAGCAGAACATGTACAGATGAACTCAGATTCATTTCTCATTTAATATTCAAACCACCCACTAAGGGCCAGACACTGTGTGTGAGCTGTGGATACAAAATGAACCACAAATACACCAAGGCGCTTGCACTCAGCCTATAGCAAGTCCAGCACAGGGGCATCTACTAGGTCCCCAGAGCCCCCAGATCCCCTTCTGCCAGACTTGAAAGTCTTCCACATATTAGGGGCAAGCATGGCCCTCCCCTGGGGCTCCCTGTTCTGCCCCTCATTGTGGAACTGTGGCCCCTCGCTCCACCCTCCTCCTACGTATCTCCTGGGCCCAGTGCTGCTGTGGACACTGAGGGTGGGACAGCGGTCAGAGCTCAGCACCCAGCAGAGTCAGCTCACAGAATCGCTGCAGCCAGTGATGCCTAGGCATGGGCCCCAGGCTGAGCTGAGCACAGGGGGAGGCCCTTACTCAGATGGAAGAGTGGGGTACAGGGCTTCTGGTTGGGGAGGCCTTTAAGAAGCCAAATTACTGTAGCAAAGAAAGGAGGCTGACACCCCTCCCTATAGTCTGAGGACCCCACGCAGAAGTCCCCTTGAAGCCTATCTCTCTGCCAAGTCCAACGGTGAGAATGAGAAAAGCTTTTCTGCTAAAAACCAAATAGTAAATATTTCAGGCTTTGCAGGCCATGTAGTCTGTCATCCAGCTCTGCCCCAGCATCAGGAAAGCAGCCATGGACAACCTGTCAACAAATGGGTGGGGCTGTATTCCAATAAAGCTTTATTGACAAAAGCAGGCAGTGGGCCGGGAAGTGCCAACCCCTGGCCCACCAGATCCTCTCCTCTGGCTGAAGGCACCTCTCATGCCTGAGCTCCTAGCTCTGCCCTCTGCCAGGCCTCAAGGCCTCTGCCCCACTGTCCCCTCGCTCCCATGCCACAGGGTCCACTCCCCAACTGCCTTGCATCCAGGTCTGTGCCCAAGATCACTTCCACAGAGAGGCCTTTCCTGCCCCAGCTGGAACATCACCACCACCCCTCCCTGTCCCTTACCCTGCTTGAGTGTTTCTCGTGCCCCTTCACCATCTGACATTGCTATAAAAGTGTCCGGTGTAGTCCCCTCGGCAGACTGTAAGCTCTGTGAGGGCAGGGGCTTTGTTTTATTTGCCGTGATCTCCCCATGGCCTAGAATAGTGCCTGATATAGGAGGAGGGTCTCACGGTTTGTAGAAGGAAGGAGGGGATGAGAGAGGAAGGAAAAGATGGGGGAGGAAGGGAGGGAGGGAGGGGGAGAGGAAGAGGAGGGAGGGAGGGAGGGGGAGGAAGGGAAAGAGGAAGGGGAAAGGGTAGAAGGAAGTAAGAATGGCAGATGGTGAGGGGAAGGACAGAGGTCTGGGTCTGTAAAAGTCAAAAGGAAACTGACAGCCCCCAGGCTCCCCACAGCCTCATCCGTATCTGGGGAGCTCTGCTTCTACTCAACCTGCCCTTCCAAGGAATGCAGCCCGCCACACAGCCAGCGTCGGAGGAGGAACCCAATTTCCTTTATTCCCATCCACAACGCCCTCTTACCACCGAGTTTTCATCCTTAAAGAGGTTTTCTCCTTTGGCTTTAGCAAGCAGCTCCCTGGGACAGTTGAGCCGGTGCTCAGACACAAACTCGAATAGGCTGTTCTTCCTGGAGAGAAGGAGGATGAGGGATGAAGGTACACAGTGCGGCAGGTTAAGAGCATGGCCTTGGCCATTAGACAGATCTGGAGTTGAGGGCTTGAATTGCTACTGGAGGGACCTCGAGACAGTTCTGTAACCTCTCTGAGCCTCAGTCTCCCTGTCTGTAAAATGAAGCTAGTAAGGATAGTGGCAGTTCAGCTCCATTACCTAATTTCATCTTTGCCTGCCAAGCACTTAGCCAGGTGCCTGACACAGGAGAAACCCTTAATGCATGGAAGCCCTGGCTGACTTAGGAGCACAGCAGGAGGCTACTGCTCTATTCCTATGGGAAGGGCTCAGTTGTTGAGCAGCTGCTGCACTAGAAAGTGGTGGATGGTGGAATTTGAACTCAGGTCTGTCTGTCTAAAGCCAGTCAGCATCCCACAACCCACGTTGCCTCTTCCCAGGGAACTCTTCCCCCTTCTAAGTCTTGGCAGGTTCTTGCACTGTGAAAGCCCCAACCAACCAGTCCAGGGCTAAGTCCCTCAGCCACCCCCATGTGCCACAGCACTGGGACACTGCCACATACCACATGATGACCACCTGGATGAAGTGCAACAGCTTCTTCTCCCCCTTGCAGGTGGCACACGTCTTGTTCCCCCGCCCTGAGCAGGTGCTGCATCTGAGAAGGGCACAGAGTTAGTACCCTCAGATCAGCTGCAGATCCTGGTGGCTTACAGAGGCTCCCACCTGCACTCCCTTCCTCCTGGAGATAGACTGTGGTGGGCCTGCATTGTTTTCGCCTGCACACCACCCAGTCTTCCTTCTGCTGGCAGTGCCCCAGTATCCCTATGTGGAACATCCCTTCCCTACCCAGCCCACACAGCTCTAGGGCCTGCCCCACCCCTTCTGTGACCAGGTTGGGACCTGGGATGGGCCAATCATCTTATTCCATGTCCTGGCCTCAGTGGCTGATATAAAAATGAGCACATGACCCAGGTGAATGCAATGAGATCTGCCCCAGGATGTTTGTCAGGACTATCGGGGAAGGGACATCTTTTTTTCCTGGGATTACGAAGCTTGAAGCTGCTGGTAGTCTCTTCTGCAGCTATAAGGAACCCTCTGCCTGAGAATGAAGCCCACACAAAGGAAAGTAGAGTGAGAGGGGGAGACAGATTCCCGGCAGTGTTATTTAAGTACCAGGATCCAGCTCGGCCTAAAGCCATCCCTGAAATATACCCCTGGACTTTATTCTTACCTAGGCCTGTAAATTTACTTTCTTGCCAAAGCCAGTTTGAATTGGATTCCTTTCACTTGCAAATGAAAGGAAAAATAAGTGTCTTTTTCCCAAAGACCCTCTCTACCAACCACAGTAGAAGGTGCACCAAAGCTTCTCCAGCTGGCTCATCAGAAGGATGGTCCGGGCTTTGATGAGGCAAAAGTATCATTAACCAACCCAACTTTGAGTATTTTTACTCATCATAGTTTAATTTCCATTAAAAAAAATCATAAATATATTAAGGGATAGAATTTACAAAATGCAGTGGCCCAGTGTTTGCAAAGCTGTGAGAAACTTAGCTGATTGTTTAGTCAATCAACTAACTTTCCTTGACTTCTCCATTCAGACCCCAAAATGAATTACAAATAGGGCTTGCCCAGGTCCTGTTCCACAGAGAGTTAAAAATCTGGCCTTCAGGTGGCTTTCGATATTCACTTCCCCACACGTGGGCAGCAGAGGTCTCCTCTCCTAGCAACACCGTCCCCGTCTTTCCTCCCTGCAGTTGCTCTTTCTTCACATCCTTTCTGCACATACTGTGACGAGTTCTAGCCTTGTCCAGAAATGCCAGGCTATGAGAAAAGCTCACCTACTCTTCAAATAGCCACAGGGCACCTACTATGTGCAGAGCTCTGGAACACAGCAGTGACGAGTCAGACAGGTGCCTGCTTGCCTTCCAGATGGGCAGGCAATGAAAAGCCGGAAAGCCGGAAAGTGAGAGCACTTCACTGCAGTGCTGGGAGTGGCGCCTACCTCCGCCTGCCGGACCCCGCGCACAGCTGACACCTCCGGGACTGCTTGGCTTTGCGCTTGGCTCCGCAGCAGGCCGGGCACCGCACCTGCAGATACACCACTGCCTCAGCCCCTGCCGGCCTCCCAAGGAAACAGGGCCAAGGGCATCCTGAGACATGGTTCAAATCCCAGCCTGGTGACCTTCCTCCCCATGGGCCTCAGCCCCTTCATCTGTAAAACAGTGGGGGGTGGGCATGGGGTATCTTTGGATCCTTCCAGTTGTAGCTTTCAAAGACTCCACTCCCTAAGATCCCTGTTTCTTCTGAGGCATCAACCTCTCCTGCCTCTTCTCTGATCCCCACAACCTCCAAGACCTGACCTCGACTAAGTTTTGAGAGGAAGCTGGGGCAGAGGCAGTAGTCAGGGGCCTGGCACTGGAGACAGGGGGGCTCCTCTTGGGAAATGGCCCCAGAAAAGGCCTAGGCTGTGCTCCCACAGCTGGTTCATGGTGGGCTCCAGAGATATTCCAGGGAAAGCCTGAGGGAGGTGGGAGGAGAGGAAGGGACAGAAAAGACAACAGGGAGGGGGTCTGGGAAAGCCGCCGGAGGCAGGTAGCAGGAGTGAGAACTTGGGAGGAGAGAGAAAGGTCAGGCGAAAGCCACCACTGGGACCCACAGGCAGTGCTGGAGTGAGTAGCAGGTGCAAACCCAACAGGCAAGGGGTGGAAGGGCCGGTGGAGAGAGAAGGGTGGAGAAGACAGCTCAGGGTAGCCAGTTCAGAGCGTGGTCAAAGGGCGAGGCTCAAATCAAGAGAGCAAAGAACACGAGGAGTTTGGTTTTAGCCCTGGGATAGTTAAAAGCCCTGAAAGTTTCTGAAAAGATGACTAATGGCACTGAGGGGCCTGTGCTGGTGCATAGTGGCCCTTCCAAGTTCAAGTTTACTGGAATCCCAGAATGGGACGTCATTTGAAAATAGTCTTTGCACATGTATTTAGTTCAGATAAAGTTGTATGACCAGGTAGGGCCTAAATCCGAGGACGCATACTTATTAAGAGCCCATGGGAAGACAAAAAGACACATAGGGATAAGGCTGAGTGACAAGGGAGGTGGGGACTGAAGCGGCACAGCCACAAGCCAAGGAACACCAAGGGCAGCCCGCAGCTGCCAGGAGCCAGGAGAGAGGCATGGGATGGCCTCCCCTTCAGCGCCTCCGGAAGAACCAACCCAGCCCACACCTTGACTTTGGAATTCTGGCCTCCAGAACTTTGAGATAATAAATGCTTGTTGTTTGAAGCCACCCATTGGTGATCATGGCTCACAGTAGCTGAAGGTAACTAACTCAAGTGTCCTGTCTGCTTTGTCTCTCCAAGCCTTCCAAGCTTCACCTGCTCAGCACCCACCACGCTGTACGACTAATGGAGTCACTTACTGGTTTCCCCAGCTGACAGGGAGCCCCTGCTAAGAAGAACCCCAGGCCTTGGTCCTCTTACAGGACCTAGAGCAGGCATCCCCAAACTACGGCCCGCGGACCACATGCGGCCCCCGAGCCCATTTATCCGGCCCCCCGCCACACTTCAGGAAGGGGCACCTCTTTCATTGGTGGTCAGTGAGAGGAGCACAGTAAGTGGCAGCCCTCCAACAGTCTGAGGGACAGTGAACTGGCCCCCTGTGTAAAAAGTTTGGGGACGCCTGACCTAGAGGCCAAAGCAAAGCAGGTATGTTGCAGAAGGATGAGAAAAGAAGAGAAAAATTAAAATCAAACTGTCAAAGTGAAAGCGTCATTAGAGACCACCCAACCCCACTTTTCCATTTTACAGATGGCAAAACAGAGGCCCAGAAAGGGAGGATGACTTGCCTGAGATGACCCAGTTACTGCAGGGAGCGTCAGGCCACCAGCCCAGCCCCCTGTCCCCAGTTTCCCCCTGCCACACCCTCACTTACTCACCAATGGTTCACAGATGACTCACCGTGCCCGCCCCATGGCAGCCGCTGCACTTGTACCGCCCACGCCTGTGGCATTTGTGGCATTCCTGAAAATGCAATGCTCTCTTGGGATCTCGTTTTCCAAGAGCCACTTCTCCCACACCCATGACATCACCATCTAAACCAGAGGTGCAGCGACTCAGGACCAGGACAGGAAGATGGCACAGGAAAGGAATGGCCCTTCCCATCTGCCTAAGATTCCAGAAGTCTTGACTGCATCAGGAGATCGTGTCACCCTTTCCTCTGAGCCCTAGCCCAGTCTGGATGCCAAGAAGGGGAGGCATGTTGTGGGAGCCCCACGTCCTAGCTCACACTCTACAGTTTCATACCAGGCTGAACCATGAAGGCTGATGGCATTTGCCCATAAGGTCGTTAATGTGGTCTTTGGGAACCATTAAAAAATGGACAGGGTTTTTATGAAAGGCAGCGAGCTAGCTGCTAGTATTTAATGACTAATTCAAAATATCTTTGCCACCCTTGAGAAAGGAATAGAACACTCTGTTGACTTCTCAAAGTCCTCTTTATCTTAGAACGCTATAAAAATGCATAGAGCAAAATTACACCCTTAAATCAAGTCCGAAAGTGGAAAGAAGGCAGTAACCAGACGAGAACACAGTATGAGTTATCTCAGTCATGCTTTTGTAATCCACTAGGCTCCCCTCCCTTCATGCCATGATTATATGTCCATAAAGCAGGATGGAAGTCAGATTCCATTTCCTTACTGACTCCCATGGAAAATCCCAGAAGGCTTTTAAGTTTTTATTTTATATCAATTTCTTTCAGTACTCTAGCTGTTTAAGGTAAAATAAAGATGAAAACTACACTCAACTGGTACAGGAATGCCACTCCTCACTAAAGCTGGTGATGATTTGTAAATCGGATGATCTCTTTGCTACCTGAACATTCCCGGATTTGCTTGGAACTTTATTTGGGACCATATTCCATATAGCGGGTTTTATCAAATTATGTTTATTTATAACCAAGAAATGAAGCACCAGCCTCAATTTTGGGTTTCCCTTCAAAGGACAAGTTTGAAGAAACATGCAGTGCCTGGAAAGCCACTCAGGAAGAAGAGCAAGTACTCCAGTAATCGTGTTACCTTGACGAGTGACGAGTGAGGGACCTGGAACTTCCTGGTGTCTTCCTGAAACATCGGGGGAACCTGAACCTTGATGTCCCAGAGCCTGGGGGAGGCGCCTCTTTGTGGCCCATCCACAGAGTGGTCTGACGCAGAAAGGGATCATTGTAAGAATGACAAAGGGCAGCAGGGATAAACTTTCACTTATTCAGCAAACAGCACGGAGCCTTCACTTGGTGCCAGGCATGAGTCTAAATCCTGGGGCTACAGGAATGGGTAGACAAGGGGCCCCTTGGAGCCGGTGATTAAGCGACAAAGAGACAGATCTGAGTTTGACTCCTGGCTCTTCTATGTCCTAGCTGTTTGACTTTAGAGAAATTTCTTACCCTCTCTGAGCTTCCACTGTCTCCTCTCTAAAATGGGAATAATCATTGCACCTGCCATACAAGATGGTAGTGAAAATTAAATGGAAGAATGTATATAAAATGCTTAGCACGAGGGCTGGCACATACTTAGGGGCTGACAACAAGAATTGTCATCATTATCATCACCACCCCCTTCACCACCCCACCTTCTTCTTTTTCTTGCTCTGTTCAAGAAGACAGCACACCATGAGAATAAGATGTGATAGGATATGACACATGCTTTGGACAAGAGTTGCATAAAGGGCTCTGAAAACTCTGAAGACTGGCCCATCCTGCTGGGAGAGGAGCAACAGGAAATCCTGAAACGCTTCTTTAAAAAAGTGACACATGAGCTGAGTCTTGAAGCATGGACCCAAATGGTCTGGCAGATTAAACAGGTAGGACCTAGGGCTTCCCAAATAGAGAAACTTAGGCCTCCAGTGGGGACTCAGCAGAAGGTGGGATAGCAAGGGGAATGGGGAGCACAAGGCCCTAGAGGCTTAGGGAGAATTGGGAGTGGCATGAGGGGGTGGGTGAATGCTTAGACACACACTCCTTTACAACCTGGCCCCATGTGGCAGCACCAGACTGTAGCAAAGGCAAATGCTTCGCTTTTGCAGGACCTCCTGCTTCCTGGGCAGAAAGCTGTCATTAAGATCAACACTGGAAAGTTTCTAAGATGAAAGTCCACCCTCTCATTTTGCAGGGGATAAGGAAGCCAAGGCTCCAAGCAGAAGACCGTCTTACTCAAGATGAGTACCTGAGCCAAGTCCTGATATTTCCCACCAGTACCCCGACTTATTTGCCCCAGTTAAACTAATTTCAGACAATTCACTTACTAGTAAAGGGTTGAAATGTCCACTCGCTTATCCTGGATTCACTAAAGGTCTCTAGTCGATACTAAAAGGCAAAAAACAGCACATTCATACTCACGCCTCTTATGAATAAAGAGCATTATGCAAAAAGATGAAGCTCTTCCCCTGCCAGAGCACAGTGGGGAAACTGAGAGGTCCATACACAACACCCTTGGGCTGCTGGAACCAGCTGGCAACATCTATTTCTATTCCATGTGCCCCCAGATGTCTGCAGGAAAGTCAGCCAGCCCCAGGAAATCTCCCCTGACAGGCTGAAAGTGGAGCTAATTCAGTTCCCCATTAATGTATACAAAGAAACTATGAGGCAAGCTTCAAAGCCATAGCTGTCTTTGATAGATGGAAGTCCCTAGAATCTATGGCTTTGAGATTTCCCTTGTGGAGGAATTTATCTACCTGATATCAGGATATTCCTTCTTGATCTTCATCCACAGAGTGACAGAATGGCAAGAGGTCTTGGACATTACCTGTCTTCTCTTTTCACTTGTGAGTAAATGGAAGCTCAGAGAGGTCAGCTGACTTGCCCAAGGTCACATAGCCACACAGTGGCCTCTTATTCCAGATTCTTGTTCTAACCACTGCCTGCAAGGTTCATCTGATTTCTGTGCGAGTATGTGATCCTCAAGGGATGGCTGGATCAGCAACAGTAGAAAATGTGAACGTAAAAGCTGCCCCTCTGCCCTGTCAGTGCAGGAGACAGAAGTGCCTTCCAGAGGTCGGATTTCCTGCGGCAATGAATAAATAATTCCTTGGCACAGACATGATTTGGGGGAGGCAGAGGGAGCTGAAGTCTAGTGGCAGGTAGATGAACCTTTCTCAGCTCATCCCTTGTGGAAGTATGGAGCAAGGACATAGGCTTTGAGGCTGGCAGATCTGAGTTTGAATCTCACCTCTGTCACTTCTAGCTGCATGTTCTTGGGCAAGTCACTCTGCCTCTTTAAAATTCCAATTCCTTGTCTGTGAACCGGTGACAGTGATGCTACCGTATAGGCAGCCATGAGGATTTGACAAGGTGTGTGTGTAGCACACTCTCTGTGATGCCTGGTGTGTTCGAGCTTGTCAGTGGTGTCTGCTGACGTTTACTCCTCTTTTTTTTTTTTTTTTTTTTTTTTTGAGTTGGAGTTTCACTCTTGTTGCCCAGGCTGGAGTGCAGTGGTGTGATCTTGGCTCACCACAACGTCTGTCTCCTGGTTTCAAGCAATTCTCCTACCTCAGCCTCCCGAATAGCTGGGACTACAGGTGCGTACCACCACACCCAATTAATTTTTGTATTTTTAGTAGAGATGGTGTTTCACCATGTCAGTCAGGGTGGTCTCAAACTCCTGACGGCAGGTGATCCACCCACTTTGGCCTCCCATAGTGCTGGGAGTGTGAGCCACTGCACCCAATCTGACACTTGTTCTTCTTATTATTACTCGCAGCCACAGACTAGGTAAGTTGCAGATGGCATTCAATGTCACCATGTCGCGCGCGCGCGCGCACACACACACACACACACACACTGCCCACAGGACTCCCTTCCCCTGGCTACATCACACAAACAGCCCCCAACCGTCCCAAAGCCCCCAGCCCCCCAGCCCCTTGGCCAAGGCTCCCGCAGGCCCTGGTCCCTTACCCTGCAGAGGGTCTGCTGCTTCAGCTCCTGGATGATGATGTCTCCAGCCACTGTGCTGCTGTAGCAGCATTTAGAGTTCACGAAGCTGAGGAGGGCTTCCCGGGCCACCTGCTCTGTCATCACAGGGACTCTGCAGAGGACCGAACAGAGAGGCAGGGGCTTCTGGGAAGGGCCTGTGGGCTCAAGCAGGCCAGCCAGCCTCCTCAATGTGCAGGTGAGAAACTGAGGCCACAGTAGTGGTAAAGCCCTCAGGAGTCCACCTGGGGAGGGCATCTCCCGCAAAAGGGACCATGTAAACAGATGCCCAGGGTGAGAACAGGCAGGTCTTCCCAGAGAACAGCAAAACCACTTTAGTTTAAATGTGGGGCTTAGGAGAAGAGCTGATAGAATCCTGCAACTACCAAAACAAAACCATAGAGAGGAATTGTACCATTTTACAGATGAGGGGAGTAGAAAGGGGTTGGTTCTGGCAGCAGCAGGGCCAGAAACCCCTAGAAACTCCTCTCAGTGAGAGGCTGGATTCAGATGGGGGGCAGCTCCACCTTCCCTCTGCACAAAGCTGGCTGGAAATGCTGAGCTCAGCCCTGAGTCCTCTCACAACAGGGAGGGTATGGGCCTTTCCAGGGATCTAGACTGGGGTTAGCAAACTTCTGCAAAGGGCCACATCATGATATTTGAGGTTTTGTGGGCCACATGGTCTTTGTCTCAATTACTCAGCTCTGCTGTGGAGTAAAAACTCCCAGAGATAATAGGAAATGTACCCAGTCACCGGAGCACAACCTGAAACTCACCTGTGTTCCAATAATGAGGACCAGGACCTTTGCTCCTGGGGCCTCCCCAGGACCTCAGAAGGCGGGAAGAATATCTGTCCTCCTGGAGAAGGAAAGAGTCAGAGGCTGGACAGGCCAGGTCAAAGGAACAAAGACGTGTGGTGGAAGAAGGAAAGACTAATTGAATGTGAGAACAGATGAAGAAAAAGTGATACATTTATTCATTTAATGCATCTAATGCAAAAAAGAATGGGGACTCCAAGACCAGCACCATCTAGGTCTTAGAGGGACCTGTCACAGTCATGGACTGTTCATAGACAGAGGGCCTATGCCCCACTGCTTCCTCTTTCTACCTACCCATGATGAGGGGCTTCCCAGGGTCCCCCCCAGGAAAGGGGAGCTATCTCAGTACCACCCTTTTCCAGAGACATCCCACAACCAGCATGAGCCCTAGGAAGAAACCCAAAGAACCAAGACCCTTGCACTTACTGCCCCCTTGAAGAAGCCAATCATAGCTAGGCAGTCTCTCCAGTAGCTCTGTGGGAGGCGCCAGAGGACTCTCAGCCTCAAAACTGAGATCCACCACACCTGCAGAAAGACAGGGAGTCCTGAGCCTTGGGCAGGGAGGAGAAGGCTGATGAGGACTTCACAGGAAGCTGAAAAATGAAGGTGTGTACATTATAAAAAGCCTCACAGTTTAAGCCAGCCTCACTCTGGCATCCTTGGGACACAGAATACATCTTCAGGGCAGGTGGTAGTAGCAGCAGTCATAATAGTGATGAAAGAAACATTAAGAATGACAGCTCCTATTTGCTAGGTACCTACTCTGTGAATATGCATTATAGGAGGTAGATACTGTGGTGAATTATAGACAGCCACATATTCTTTGATGCTTCCCTTCCCTTGAACCTGGGAAGATATGTGACTGCCTCAACCAAGAGAATACAGTGGAAGCATTAAAAGGCTGCTCCTTCTTCTGCCTCGTGGAGCATTTGTCTTGGAACCCTGAGTTTTAAGTCAGGCTATTGTGCTGGAGGGACCATAAGGAGAGACCCTAAGACTACATGGAAGGAGGTCCAGTTGAGTCCAGCCTTCCAGCCATGCCCACCAAACCAGCAAAGCTGTCCTGAACCCTCCAAGCCATATCAACCACCTGCTGAACACCACTGGATGACCCTAATCAACACCGCATGGAGCAGAAGAATCTCCTGGCTGAGCCCTACCCTAATTGCTGACCCACAAAATCATGAGCTACAATAACATTATTGTTGTTTTAAGGCACTGAGATGTGGGGTCATTTGTTATGCGCCTTCCTTTAGTGGACAATCTTTCCTCTGGGATTCCTGGTAGACCTGCCTAAGACTTTCTTGGAGTCATGTGGAGTCTGAGACTTTTCCTGCTTAGTCTCCTTCTTTCCCTCTCTCCCTTCACAGGTATCAGACCTGCACTGCAGTCTGAAGACATTCCCTCCTCTTTTCCTTTCACAGGTATCTTCAAGAAACCCCTTGCACATCTAATGCCATCTTGGTGTCTATTTCCTGGGTGACTCAAACTGATACACTAATGCCTTTCCCCATTCTACCAATGAAGAAACTGAGGCTCAGCAAGGTTGTGACTTTTCCAAGATCATACAACCAGCAAGTGGTGGTTGGGGCTGGATTCAAACCCAGACTCGTCTGACTCCAAAGTTCATGTTCTTTCCAAGTACAGACAGTCCCCAACTTAGGATGTTTAGACTTACTGATTTTGATACTTTATGATGGTGCAAAAGCCAAACACATTCTTTAGAAATCAAACATCAAATTTTGAATTTGGATCTTTTCGTAGGCTAGCAATTTACAATATGATATACTCTCGTGATGCCAGGCAGCAGCAGTGAGCCACAGCTCCCACTCTACCACTGCCCAGTATAATAAATGCCTTCTTGACTTGTGATATTTTCAACTTACGATGGGTTTATTGGGACATAATCCCTCTGTAGGTTGAGCAGTACCTGTATTTTCCATGAGGCAAAACTATGAAAAAATCATTCACTATATACCGGTTTTCAAACCTAATCCTAACCTGTCAGGTGTGACATAGACACAGGTGGCCCTGAGATGCTGAGGAGGAAGGCGTAATATAAGAACTTGCTCCTGAAGCACTGGATGGTTCAGGAAGCACCTTCCCACACCTGGTGCTTCATTCCACACTCCCACCTGGGGGTGTGGAAGGCAGCACGCTGACCCCATTTGACGTGAGGCACATGAGTCTCAGACAGAGAGATTACTCCAGTAATCCTAGATCACACAGCTGTGGAGTTAGAGCAGGACAGAGGTCCCAGAAGCCTCTGGAATCAGAAGTCTAGTTCCAGCCCACTGCCCCACCCCTTAAAACTGTTCCCACAACCCCTGATACCGGGGGACAAGAATCCCTTGGCTTTGTTTGTCCAGTGGCCAAGTCGGTCACAGGAGTTGACTTCAGATGGTGGCTGTGAAGTGGTCAGTGGAAAGGGACCCTGTCTGTCTCAGTCACTAAAGCAAACTCAGATCAGACTTCCAGCTGAGCTGCCCCATCTCCTAGAGCAGGCGTCCCCAAACTTTTTACACAGGTGGCCAGTTCACTGTCCCTCAGACTGTTGGAGGGCCGCCACATACTGTGCTCCTCTCACTGACCACCAATGAAAGAGGTGCCCCTTCCTGAAGTGCGGCGGGGGGCATGCGGCCCGCGGGCCGTAGTTTGGGGATGCCTGGCCTAGAGACTTTTTTTTGTGGGAGGAACCCATTTAAAGCCTGTAGCTCTTTACCTCCACGAAAGCAAAAATAATATGCCCTGTCCCTTCAAGTTTAATAAAAACAAAGTCCAGACAATAAGCAGATTTTGTTCTAAATGAGACCAGTATAAGCTGATCTGGAAGCGAAGCTGTCAGCAGGTGAGGAAGGAGGAAATCTTGAAACACGTGGCTGAGAACGTAGGGAGCCGGGTGTCATTAGGCTCTCCTTCGCCACCTCCCAAATTAGGAGTGTTCCTGTCCTCTGAGAATAAAAAGTATGATCTGCATCTTTAAGGCTTTTTCTCCTTGCAGAAAACCAACAAAGGAAAGTGGGTAGAAAAAGCTTTGTGATGTAGAGAGTACCTTTCTTAGCAAGAAAAGCCACTTTTGTGAGCAAATGGCTCTGCCAAGAAACGGGAGAGATCTGAGACAGATGTGGCTGATATATAGTGACGTCATCCCAAAGCTGCAAACTGATGCCTGCCAATGTGCATGGAAATCTGCAATATGATAATTCATCTGGAATTACTATTAATACCTTGGTTCTCAGTATAGCTTTGCTTCTAGTTAGTTTAGCAGCATTTGAAGCTATATTAGCCACCAGGGACCCAAGGGTTAGCAACAATTTCCTATAAAGAACCAGGTGGTAAATATTTTAGATTTTGCAGGACAGACAATCTCTGTCTCAGTTACTCAAGTTGTTTGTTGTAGTGTGAAGCAGCCATAGACCATACACAATTGAATACGTGTCACTTTGTTCTAGTAAAATGTTATTGGTGAAATAGGTGGTGGGTCTGATTTTGTCTCTGAGTCATGTTTTGCTTATCTCTGATTTAGACACCCACCTGTGTGTTTACCTAGACATTCTCCTGGGAATGGGCTTGAGGATATCAAAAGACAGAGGCTAAAACCTGAGCCTTTCTAGGACAAAGGCCCATGCATGTCCATTGCAGTTTCTGTCAGCTCCATTATCAGAATTAAAGATCCCGGTCAGGGCTGAACTGTAGCCCTGAAACACATGCCCAAGCAGTAGAAGAAGGAGGGAATGCATTTAGGACAAATGAACACCCCACTCTCTACCACCTCCCAAATTGGGAATGTCCTTGTCCTCTGACAAAAAATACTATCTGCACCTCTAAGGTTTTTTTCCTCCTTGCAGAAAATCTACAAGGAAGGTAAATTTTTAAAACGTTTCATAGTTGTAGAGTGCCTTGGTAAGCAGGAAAACACAGCTTTGTGAGCCAATGGTCCTGCCATACTTTGACTGGAGTCAGAATCCCAGAGGCAGTGTGGTTAGAAACATGGGTTCTGACATGTCACCTTGGGCCTGGGCTCTCGGCATGATGTGATGCCAAGCAAGCCACACGTCCCTGTAGAACTCAACTCCCTCCTAGGCAGAATGGAGCAACTGATATCAATGGCCATGCAATGAGACAATGTGTACATCATCCTTAGTCCTGTGCCTGGCCTTTAACGAAACCCACTCACTGCCTCCAACCTGAAGAGGTTGGGTCTTCCTTTTCCTTTGTGCTCATTTAAACCAGGAGACAATAGTGAAAATATCAAGCATAGAAAGACGGTCACAGCCCTGTCCCCTGGGATGGCCCTGCCCACCCAGAAGTCTTGGGTCTGTTGGGGCATCAATACTCCTCTTGACGAGAAGACAGGGAAATACCATGCGGCTGCAATGTCCTGCTGGAAACCAAACAAAAGGGGCAGGAAGAGGGGAAGAATAAGAGGTGGGAAACCCAGACTCCATCCCTCAGCCAGGAGCCACCCTGACCTCTCAGGGCAGCTGCAGTTCATCAGAGCTAAATTAATCTTGCCATTCTGTTATGTACAAAAATAAAGGACTCCAGGCTGAACTAAGGAGGATGTGTCATTTCCTGTACAGATCTTGACGGGCACAGCAGAGAATGTGGACGTCATGGGGCATTGTGTGACACCCAGCATGGGACACTCAGAAGGGGCCACCAGCCACGTCGCTGTTCCCATGGTGTTGCAGCTGAGTTTCAGGCAGTCGTCCAGCAGGGCCACCCCGCCCTAACACACGCATTGTGTCCCGAGGTTCCCATAGGGACACTGCAGGCATGATCTCCTTTGTGCTTTATGATAACCAGTTTTCCCTATTTCAGAGAAGAATGAAATGAGGCTCAAAGATGTAATATGGGGCACCTTGCTCACACACGCACAGCAGAGACAGAAACAGTACTTAGAGCTCAGATCCCATCTCCAAGCCCAATGATGTTTTTACTCAGCTGAACACCTTATGGCTCCACAAAACAGCATCGAGTGGATGTTGAGAAGATGTTGAAAAGAGAGTTGCCAAGATAGTGTCTCAGCTCACCAGCCACAAGATACTTTTCCTTTGTATAGAGAGGAATTTTCCTTATGGAGAAAGATGTAATTAATGGGTAACCCCTTTAACTTTCTCTTTTTAAAATGCATTCCCTTGGCTTCAGGTGAGAAAGGGAATCCATGTCCTTTGTCCCTAACTCCACAGTAATCATCTTAAAAGCACTGAAGCGGGCTCAGAGGGCTTTCTATCACTGTCTTACTTGAGTTCGTTTCATACGTTGTCTCCTTCGACAGGTGTGAGGGCCCCTTTTGGACAGGGACCCCTCCCTCTCGTATAGGAACGGCGTTCAACACTCAAACAGAGTGGGGATACACGACACGCACGTAAGTGTTAGGGGAACAACAAACCCACCACGGTGGGCATACTATCGATGTGCACAAGTGCCCTGTGATTTGAGTTAGACCTGAGATGGTGCCAGAAAGATTCAGGTGGTCAAACTCAGAGGCACAAGAATAGAGTGATAGTTGAGAAGGGAAT